TCTTCTCTTCTCTTCTCTTCTCTTCTCTTCTCCCTGTTCATTGAGAGAAGATAATATTAAAGCCATTATTTACATAATAAATGTGCTGTGATGTTGTAATTTTAAGATTGTTTGTGACTGAGATGAAGCAAGAGAGCAGCAGTCTGTTATTGTACAACAGTAGCAAAATTGCTTTTGAAGCTGAATATGTTGCACTTCAACCTCATACGTTGGATTTTCTTAACTTTGTCAACCGGTTCCACGTAACTGGGTTATGTTGCATTTAATTAACATAATTTATTTCGGTAAACTTAAGTTTATTGCATAATGTTAAATCAATGCCATTTAATTGAAATGAAAAAGTTTGAGGTTTTAATCCAAAACGATTAAGTTCAGTTATTCTAAAATTAATATCAAACAAAAATTAAAACAAGTAATCCAATTTAATTTATTAGTTTATTTAATGAATGCAAGGGCAATTTTTTACAAAAGTTGTCTGACAAGAACAATTTTCACAAAATCTTTGCTCTGTAAAGATTTGTATTGTTAGTCATAACATGGTTTTGTCACATCCATGGCATGCCCAAAGTAGTTGTTTATTATTATTATTAAAACAACTTTAATTCTTGTTAGCAGGTCCTCAACCCAAGCACATGCTCTACACTTCACCACAATGATAACCCCCAAAAACACTAAACCAGAAACTCTTTTAAATACAAACATAAAAGAACATGAAACATCTCCCAATTTTATCATCTGGATAAAAAAAATGCATAAAATAACATTTTATTTCAACATTTACTCTCTCTATCCAGCCCTGTGCAAAGCATGATTGGAAGGCGAAATCCTGTTCCTAATTACACAACTAAAATCATTTATGTACTTTTAACTCAAATTAATTAAGTAAAGTGGTTGAAAAGAATTGTGTTGGATTAACTTAATTTACTTAAGTAAATTGAACAAGCATCAAATGTTATGTTTGGCCTAGTTAATTGAAACATGTTCTCTCAAAACGAGCCAAAATGCAGCTGTTTCAAGTCAGTTTACCACAATGCAATTGTTTAAATGAGAAGCCTAATACAATGGTGTTAAATGAAAATGATTTTTTTAAATAAACTGAACTGAATAATTTGAGTATACTGTCTGTTTCCGCTGCCTACAGTATATATGGAAGATCTATAATTCCGGTATATTGTTTTTCCAACCGGTGATGTTAGCATGGACAATCCCCTCTCCATTGGCACATGATGAGGGAACATGTTGCACGCATTCACGCGTTTTATCTACAAGACCCCTCGCCATCTTGTCGGACACGTATACTCAATCATCTGTGAGAGTGAATGGCCGTGGACCGTCTGGAACAGAACCCACGCACCCTTTCAAGACCCCCTCATTCTCTTCTCTCATATATCAAAAGAGAAGCACCTGAGGCACTGAAGCAATAATGTAGTATAAATGAAATTTCCTGCAAGGCTTATTGATGTCATTAAACACAAGCATATTGCACTTCAGAACCATTTTATTCTTCATCAGAGAGCTTGACATTTAGTGAATTAGGTACTGTTGAGCTGCCTGTATCTTCCTGCCATCACTGCCGTCGCCGCCTCCGTCACGGTCTGTAGAGATATGTCATCTCATTTAGGCCCGCTGACCGCTGACGAGCGCTAATATCCCTTTGCATTAGCTCATTTGAGCCTAATGTACTTTTGGTGTTGGTAATCAAATAAGCAATAGCTTAGGCTATGCCTTATGGCTTTAAATGAGTATGTAACCATTACGAGTGCATTATTACTCTATCTTCCCCCCCCCCCCCCCCAATTCATATGCATATTTGTTGTATTGATTATCTGCATATGAAGCCACAGATCATAGTTTGATTGGATCTTTAGAATCCTATTAATATATTAAAATTTGATCTAGTCTAGGCTTACTTCAGGACTTCAGATTGTACATTGAACATTTTTGTCAACCCTACATAGTACTGGAATTGTTCATTGCGCAAAATATACAGAGTTTAAACTTGGAAGTGTATTAACTAATGTTTGATCATTTTTAGTTGAGATGTGTTCAGATGTTGTAGCTTTTAGAATTAGATTTTTAATTTATAGTGAGTTTTTTGTTTGAATATGTCCTTATATTCAGTTTCATTTTCTTCAGGCAGGCATTTGCTGCACAAAACAGAATACATCAAAAGAATGTGCTACCACTTTGTTACCATTTAAATTGTATTTTGTATATACTATATACACGTGTGTGTGTGTGTGTGTGTGTGTGTGTGTACAGTGGGTACGGAAAGTATTCAGACCCCCTTAAATTTTTCACTCTTTGTTATATTGCAGCCATTTGCTAAAATCATTTAAGTTAATTTTTTTCCCTCATTAATGTACACACAGCACCCCATATTGGTTTTTTTTTTCCAACCGAAGTTAAAGTACATTTTAGTTTCAAACCAAATAGAAGTGCAGGTCATTTTTGCAAGTTAGTTTGAAAGACTTATAAGGATGTCTCTCTTGTCTCCTGTAGATCATTACAAAGTATGTTTATGAATGCCTGGAAAACGACTGCAACCTGAAGAAGGAGATCCTCCCCGTATGTAATGTATTTTTTTCCCTCCTTAATACTTTAGATGCCCACAATTTGAATCTAAACAGAATTATTGTGAAAACTGATACAGTTGTGCTTGGCATCCTATAAGATTACAATGGCCTATATTGCGTGAAAACGAAGTTTTAGAATGATATTCTTCAACACTTCTCAACTCTCCAGGAGAAAATTAAATTTGTTCTGATGGGAAAATTGTGTACGCTCAAGGAGATTCCTAAGGTGTGGTCACTGCATTCATATGAGCAATAATGTTATGATTTCTAGTACACTTTTTAAGAGGCATATCATTAAACTACACATCATTTTTGATAGCGGGTGTGTGCGCTTGGTAGTCATAGAATTTATGTCCTTTTAAAAGCACTGTAAATTACTCTCCATAAATCACCTGAACAATGCTGGCACAGGCTTTTATGAGCTGTTTTATATTGTGGAGAGAACCAAATGATGTTCTTGGACTCTGTATTGTCTTTCAGAGAGTTTCATGGGCAAAGCTGTCTGTGACCAACTGCATTTAGTGCTTAATCCATTTATCAAAGTCCATTTTAGACACAAAATGCATTGTTATTTTCAATCGTATGACTTTATGCTCATCTTAGAGTTTGCCACAAAACTTATCCCCACACAGGAAGCATACACCATGTAAATGTCAAGACGGATTTGATGCAGTGTAATGAAGTCATCAGACGCAGTGTAGCTCAGCATTGAGCGCCGTTCATTCGAAATGATTCCAGTCTCTGACTGCAATCAGCTGGTTCTGAGAGTGTCCTGCCCCACTTTAATAATACTAAATATAGTTGTTGACACACATCAGGGGATTGAGGAGCTGCACAAAAAACAAAATCAGTTCGAGGTTCACGAAGTTTGCCAAGTTCGACTAAATGATGATGGATGTTAGGTTTCTAATTTACTCCTGGCCTATGAATTCACAGCATTTTGGAATGTAGTGTGAACTCTGTGCCCTAAGTATGTTCAATAATATAAGGGTGAAATTTCCAAACTGAATATTTAATTTGCCGTAATCTTGTAACCTGCTGTAATTGGTGACTGGCATCTCAGTTTGATACTGATTGTAATATTTATATTCCTTCAGGTCGATTCGACTGTGGATGAACCGAAAAGCTTTATTTACATGAGCGAGGATGCCCTCACTAACCCAGAGAAGATCATGGTTCTCATCCAGGGCAGTGGAGTGGTGAGGGCAGGCCAGTGGGCTCGACGCCTCATCATTAATGAAGACCTCAACAGTGGGACACAGATACCCTTCATTAACCGTGCCAAAGAGGTGGGTTTTATTTTGTTTTTAAGGTTTTATTTTTTGTTTCGCAAAGGAAGTGTTTAAGTATGATTTATGTTACTTTCACTATTCGTTGTAAAAATAGTTAATTACTTATGGGTTGTATTGGGTGTGTATATAGTCTATTTATCCAGGCCAGCTTGTTCTGAGATCATTTGCCGACTCTATATTCCAATTCCAGCAAAAGTGTTTATTAATTTACAGGTCTTCTATATACACTATCGTTCAAAAATTTAAAATAAATAGCTAAATAAATAAATACATATTTTTAAAGTAATATTTCAGAAAATGTAATTTTAATACAGTAAAAACAGTAGTATTGTGAAATATTATTACAATTTATAAGAACTGTTTTCTATTTTAATTAGGGCTGGCAAGCGATTAAAATTTTTAATCTAATTAATTTCATGATGTGGCAATTAATTAATCTAATCTAAATTTGGCTAAAAATTACTCCCAAAAAGATAATTTAAAGTCATTGTTGTGTAAAGCATCAAACAGACGTTACAAAATGTAGCTTCAGCAAGAAATATTTTGTTTGATAAAATTTATTACATATATTTTTTTGGATCATGAGGGTGAGTAAATGATGACACAATTGTCATTTTTCGGTGGGTGAATTATACCTTTAATAATTTATTTTATTATTATTACTATGGAAATATGAAATTATTTCTTTAATGAAATGATACTCTATATAATAAACTAAAACTGCCAGTAGGTGGTGGTAAATATATTAATGATTAAGTCATCGAGTCATTTATTCATTTGATTCATACTAATGGCTACGTAAATAGTTCTTTATGAATGGTCCATTGAATCATTAGGCTTGTTCAACATGAAGCGGATCGTCACCATCAGACCGATCGGTGTGTGTCATCAAAGTACCGCGTGACAAGTACTTTGATGTCATACACCGATCGATCTGTGCAGCGCCGCTTAAAATCCAACGCGCCTATGGCCAATGGTTCAATGCGCCAAACGGTTCACCCAATTAGTTCAAAACGTGCATTAAGAAATGAAATGCCACTTTGTGTTGCTTGGAGACAGTTCTGCTTTGTCTTTATATTTTCGTTGGCAAAATTGAGCAAAACGGACAACATTGTCTAAAATAACACTATATTAACTTATTACTTACTGAACTCTTGTATAAGATCAGTGTCACATTTGCACTCGTGTGATATTGATATGATGTAAATATGAGACAAAAACTCAAACGGGGCATTTTTTTCCCCCATATCTTGAATTTTAGGGACATTTTAATTAGGCTACGTTCTCTAGGCTCCATCACGCAGTGCGTTGTTGCCCTGCCTCATATTTGTAATTAATCAGCTGTATGAAATGTCAGATAACCCACATAGGTCTGGGGCGCAGGGCAAGTGCGTTAAATGCGTTAATAATTTTAACGTGTTATTTTTCACCGTTATTAATTAATCTAATTAACGCGTTAAATTACCAGCCCTAATTTTAATATATTTTAAAATAATCCTGTGATGGCTAAGCTGAATTTTCATCAGCCATTACTCCGGTCTCCAGTGTCACATGATCCTTCAGAAATCATTCTGATGCTGATTTGATGATCAAAAATCATTTCAATTATTACACTTTTTAAAACAATTATTACACTTTTTTTCAACATTGATAATAAAAAATACCTAATAATTGGGCACCAATAATAATTGATGATAACTGAGCATGAAATCGGCATTATAATGATTTCTGGATGACCATGTGACACTGAAGACTGCAGTAATGGCCATCACAGGAATAAATTACATTTTAAAATATAATAAAATTCAATGTATGGTATATTTTTTGATTTGTAGTATTTATTTAAATATCTGAACTACAGGCCTGACTGGGCCAGTAGATTGTTCAGTAGCAATGAAAGTATTATCACATGCCTGTAGTCTGAGCAACTGCTGTATCTATCTCTATTTTCTCCTCTGTATCTCTCTTTACTCTCTCCAATCCATAGATATTTATTTACCCAGCAAAAGGAGCTGTTTTGCTGTTACGTGTGTACTGTAAACTGTAATTTAGATTTTCATTTATTTTCTCTGTCGGAGGATGTATCCCCGAGTGGAGTTATTTCCATCCATCGCGGCTAGTCGTTTGTCACGCCGCCCGCCGCTACCTGTGTAATTTCATCGGCCCGTGCGTTCAAATTGACTTAAGGGAGATCTCCCTCGCTCTTCCATCTAAATGTCATAAAACACACACACACTCCCACACTGATGTCTGCAGGCAAAGTCACTTTTCGTACAGCGCCAGGAAAAGACTGACGGGGAAGGCGAGTTTGCTTGTCTGTGTGTTTGAGAGACCGTAAGGTGGCTTATTGCATTTGCGAAGAGGTGCTTTCTGGGGGTGTACTGCAGTGGGTTGGACGGAAAGAATGCACGGTGTGTTCTGCCGACCATTTATCATACTAAATAATGACCCCAGCTTTGCTGTGACATCATCATAATAGCATTTACAGGAAGAGAGATTCCAGACTTTGTTGCATGTATATCAGTATGACAGAGGGAATGTGGCTGTCACTTTGCAATATCTGTATTGCTGAGGGGGTGCAGATGCACTGTCTGATTCTTCAAGTGACGGCTCGTGTTTGTGATTTCCTCTGTGATAAACAAGGCCACCTGAGGCCATGTGCCAAATATGCTCTGATCCGAGATCAGTCTGTTCTTTTAGCCTGTGAGAGGTGTTATTCTGATGGGAATTGGTTATGTGCTTACAAACAGATTTCATTGCTCCCTGATCTATCCTGTGAAGCTTTATTAAAGATTATTGTGTAGAAATAAGATTGTAAAATAAAGCAGGTTGATTCTGATATGAGCTGACTGTCATTTCAGAATAATATAGAATATAAAATAATAATGTAGCATTCAAATGTATAAAAGATTGAGGTTAGTGAGTGATAAATTGTTCTTTGTTCATCAAAGAATCCTTTCCACAAAATCAGTTTCCACATAATTATTAAGCAGCATGATAAAATGTTTCTTGAATACTAAATCAGCATGTTAGAATGATTTCTGAAGAATCATGTGACACTGAAGTCTGGAGTAATGTCTGTTAAACATTCATCTTGCCATCACAGGAATAAATTTGTATAATATTAAATAATATTTAATTTAATAGTATTAAATAATATATACATTTTATAGTATATATATTAACAAAAAACAATTTAAATGTAAAATTGTCATAATATTTTTTTTAATATTTACTGTGGTCTTGGTCATGTATATGTTTGTGTGTGTGTGTATATATATATATATATATATACATACATACATACACACAGTACCACTCAAAAGTTTGGGATCAGTAAGACTTGTAATGTTTTTAAAGAAGTCTCTTCTGCTCATCAAGGCTGCATTTATTTGATCAAAAATACAGACTATAAAACAGTAATCTTGTAAAATGTTATTACAATATAAAATAATGGTTTCTATTTTAATATACTTTAAAATATAATTTATTTCTGTGATAAAAGCTGAATTTCCATCAGCCATTACTCCAGTATAAAGTGTCACACGGTCCTTAAGAAATCATTCTAATATGCTGATTTATTATTAGAATTATCAATGTTGGCAACAGTTGTGCTGCCAAATATTTTTTGGGGAAACTGCGATTCTTTGATGAATAAAAAGTTAAAAAGAACAGCATTTATTCGAAATATAAATATTTTCTAACAATATAAAGCTTTTAGGGCTGCAACAACTAATCGATAAAATCGATTATTATCGATTATGAAAATCATCGACAACGATTCTCATTATCGATTAATCGGGTCTGCCCACAGTGCACGTCCAACAGAGTTTACATACTTGCCCAACTTCAGCCGGTCGCGTCAAATTAAAGCACTGAATTACTTATTTCTATGGACAAAATGCATCTAAAATAGTGGAGGAAACAGAATGAGATGCTGCAGGAGAGTTACGTGATCCAAGCTGCCCAAAACATGAGAATTATTTATTTTAAGCTTTAAGCTAATGCATTAGCGTAATTGCTTGCCCTGTCAGGCGCTTTAACAGATGCGTGTGTGTGTCCTCAGCGCAAAAAAACTTTCAGTTAACGGTCATATCCTTATGTATAAATGTCACAAATTCACGCGAGCATTTCCATTTTTGCATAAAGGTCCGTCCTGACAGTCTGTGTTAAATTAATCTTTACTGAATGTGTTTTCTCTTTATTATGGCAGGTGGTCTAATACATTTTTAAGCACTGTATGTTTTCATAGCATTCAGTTGGAACGTTTGTTTTAAGGACATTGGGAAGAATGTGGAATAGTGTGTTTTTGTCAATAAAATAAAAAAAGAAAATTGTTTGTTTTTAATCCGATTAGTCGGTGGGGGGGGGGAATAAAATAATCGATTAGCAAAATAATCGTTAGTTGCAGCCCTAAAATCTTTGCTATCACTTCTTAACAATTGAACACATCCTTGCTGAATACAATTTTTAATTTCTTTCAAAAAAAAA